AGCTGGCCCCACGGCCGGGGCGGGGAGGACAGGCCAGGCCCAGCCCCTCCTGAACACCATCTGACCCTCAGAGTGCTCTGCCAGCTGCCCTCCCACCCTAGCTGGGCTGGCCCCCTCCCTTCCGCGCCATGAGAACACCATCTGGCCCTCAGAGTACTCTGCCAGCTGCCCTCCCACCCGAGCTGGGCTGGCCCCCTCCCTTCCGCGCCATGTCAGCCTGGCAGACCTGCCCCGCATAGCCCTCTTCACGTGCACCATCCGGCCCTCTGAGTACCCCAGAGGGCGGTGGGACACACCCATTTTATGGGGAAGCAGTGAAGGTCTGGAGCAGGTATCCGCCTCCGTTCTGGTTTCTAGATCCACGCAGAATCTGTGTGTCCCTTCCATGACCCGAGCAGGCCAAAGAGACGCTGCAGGGTCACAGAGCCGCGGGACGCTCGTGACCGCCACGGCTCTCGGCAGGCCACGGTCAGGCTCAGGCTGCGGAGATCTGACGGGCAAGTGTGGTTCAAAGCCTCGTGTTTAGGCACCCAGCCGCAGAGAGCAGGGACAACGGGCAGCCAGACAGGAGGAAGGCAAGAAGGGCCCTGGGGAAAAAATAGTATTAAAAAAAGAAAAAAAGATGGGCCAGCCCTATAGCCCAGTGGATGAGCCCTACGCAGTGGGAGCCAGATCCCGGATGGCCGATTCCAGTTCACGTTCCAGCCCTGGTGGCTTGGAATACACACCCTGTGCCTGTAGGAGCAGGCCCCAGATTTCACCTGGAGGGAGAAACCGAGGGAGAGGGGTCAAGGCAGGACCACACCCTGGCATGCGCTCTCCCTCTCTGTCTCAGAAAACACACATGCCCTCTGGCGATTGAAAAGAAAGGAAAAGAAAAAGGATACACTTCTGTCTGTACGTTCCCAGCTCACTGCCTTGTTCTCACTGATTGCTCAGAAGTCCAACCGTGGCGCTGTGAGGAGGCGGGACAGGGAAGGATTGGGTTGCTGGAAGTCATGATGTATTTTTGATTTTCTAGGCAAAAATGCATCATGACTTTTCTGACAACTCAGTATGTTTTTAAAAGAATTATTTTATTTAACTTTATTACTATTATTATTATTTTTTAATTTGACCAGAGAGAGAGGGAAAGCGAGAAAGCAAGCCACCAGGTCCAGGACTCGAACTCTGGTCAGCTATATGGGAGTCCAGCGCCAATCCAGTATTTTTACACTCATTTCATAGATGAGGCAACCACATGGGGCCAGGGTTTCTGGACCGTGGGGCCAGGTCTAGTTCCTTGGGCTGCTGTTCTCAGCTGGGCTGGTCAGAGCCGTTGGGGTCTGAGGGACTTCTTGCTTCCAGTCTACTTGGCTCTGCCTTCCGCATGAGTGCTCGTAGGAGGGTTTGTTTGTGTCTGCTAATGAATGATCAGAAAACCACCATGTGCCTGCCAGCAGGTGGCTTGGAGGTTAAAGTGCTGGACTCCCACATGACAGACTGTAGTTCAAGTCCCAGACCTGGTGGCTTGATTTTTACTTTCCTTCACTCTCTCTATCTCACTCCAGTGCCCTGTAGCCAATTTAAAAATAATAATGATGATGGGACCAGTAGTTAGCCTAATGGCTATGTCGCTGAACTCCCATGTAGTCGACCATGGTTCAAGTCCTGGACCTGGTGGCTTAAACTCACACCGGACGTGTGTGCGTGCGTGCCCTAGATCACAAGAGGAGAAGGGATTGTGGCATGGCCATTCCTCCTTGGGGATGATTTCTCCCTTTCTGTCTCTCTGTCTCTCTCTGTCTTCCTGGCGAGCGCACACACCCTATAGCAAGAACCTCTCAAAAAAATAATAAATAATGATGATAAATAAATCTTTTAAAAGAAAGATAAAGAAATGGTCAGAGCTTTAAGAAAACAAATTGTATCCAAATAGTGTAAATCAAATTATTTTTTAAATTATTTTAAAAAAATTTTATTCATTATCATTACTTTATTCATTTTTATCTTATTGAAGTTGACCAGAAAGAGACAGAGAGAGAGAGAAGGAAATTGAGAAAGCAAGCTGCCAAGTCTGGGACTTGAACCACGGTCAGCCATGTTGCTACAGTTCTTTTTTTCTTTTTTTTTTTTTTTTAGCGAGAGAGAGGTTTTTGCTATAGGGCGCATGTGCTTGCAAGACAGAGAGACAGAAAGCAAGAGATCACCCCCCAGGGGGGATGGTCATGCTGCAATCCCTTCTCCTCCATTCTCCTCCCAGGATCTTGGCATGCACGCACTCGCACCTGGAGTGAGTTTAAGCTACCGGGTCCAGGACTCGAACCGTGGTCGACTACATGGGAGTCCAGCAACGTAGCCATTATGCTAACTGCTGGTCCCATGGTTGCTACAGTTCCTCAAGCCACAGGGTTGAGGCACTGGGAGATTAAACGGGGTCCGTTTAGTAAATGCACTGCCAGGACCGGGAGCCTAAGGCCCCTCAGCCGTCAGAGACTGAGGGTCAGGCTGACAGTTCTCCGACAGGAGGGCCCTGAGTTAGGACAGTTATGGCCTGCCTGCCACGCAGGGGTCGCCTTCTGTGAATGAACTGGTTTCCTCTTATCTCGGGTACGGATGGATTCGCGGTAATGCCAGTCCCAGAGCAGCAGGGCGTCCACACCCAGGAAGTATCTGGGAGGTGTGGAGCCTGCAGCCTCCTCCAGGGGCCCCAGTCTGTGGCCACAGTGTGCATGTGCGACGCTCAGCAGAGGGTTCAGCACCAAAGCTGGGCCGTCAGGGTTCAAGTCCATGCCGCCCTTTTACCAGCCTGGCGGCCTGAGCCAAAGGGACTTAGCTCCACCACCCTCCTCTTAGCTCCTAGGAGCTGACGGTGGACCTTACCTCCCCAGGGTGTCTAAGGACCGGATGAGCTCACTAAGCACAGCGCCTGGCCCGGGGTTGGCTAAGTGGGCTGTGGTCAGGGTTGCTCCCCGCCGTGAGTGACTGCATTCCCTCCTGTCCTTCCCATCAGCTGGAGAGCCCGGAGGTGAAGGCGCTGCAGGACAGACTGGCTGCCACAAACCTGAAGATGAGCGACCTCCGCAACCAGATCCAGGCTGTGAAGCAGGAGCTCCGGATGGCCCAGAAGGTCCTTTGGAGCCAGGGCTCAGGACTCCCGTGGTGGGGCTGGGCTGGGGGAAGCACAGCTGGCATGGTGGCTTCCAGGGAGGGGCAACAGCTGCTCGGCCCTGTGAGCACTCTGCTTGCTCTGGGTGTTTCTCCAGATCTGGAAACTTCCTTCCACTGGTTCTCAGAACGGACCCCTTAGGTGAGCAGCGTCAGTGTCTGCCTCAGCCCCTCCCCACATGCCCCCGTGGTGACCACCTAGCTCTGGACTGAGAAGGCCTGTCAAGGAGGACCCTTTAAGCCTCCCCTCCACCAGCCTGGCCCCAGGAGAGCCTTGGTCTCTCCTTCACAAGCCACCTTTGATTTGGAGGCCTGCCCAGACCTGCCCCTACCTCTGCTGGCTGCAGTGTTAGGACATGAATAGGTCGTCTGTGTCGTAAAGACCCCTCTCAAAGGAAGAAGTTCAGACTTGGGACGCAGGGCCAGCTGGTTCCTTGCTTATTTTTATTTATATAGCGAATTCTCTGGCATCTGTCTTCCCTGCTGGAACCACTTGGACTGGCCAAGATTTCCAAAACAGTGTTCTATTGTGGAAACAGCATCAGAGACTTGGTACACTGGCTTGGGTTTTCGTGACAGGCTTGGGAGAGGGCCGTGTCACAGCTGCAGGGCTCTGTTTCCACCTCAAAGCTTTACGGTAGGGCTCGAACACCGCACTTCAGCAGCTCGAGGCAGGCCCTCCTCAGACCACAGCATCCAGGCTGACATTCAGTAGCTCCCTGCCTTGCCACACCTAGGTGGCCACTTTTCAGTGGCTTTTCACGGAGGGCAAGGCCCTGTGGCAGGGGACTTCTGGTAGCCACCCGGAGTGACCTCAGTTTTGGGTGGCAGGTAGAGGGTTGAGAAGCGGGTGTTGATCCGCTTTGGGTTTACTTGTGTAGAATACGGGAAGAGCAGGGGCCTGTCTGGGTGCTGCTGCCAGTCTGTTCTGCTCTGAATAGCACCACGCCAGGAAGATGGACTCCCTACTTTCCCCGGAGGGCGGCCCTTGGAATGCGGTCAAGTGTCTTTGGAGGGCTGTGCTGCGAGGTGGCAGGGGTTGTGTCCGTGAGGGCTAGGCCTCGGGGGCCCACGCACCCAGCACTGCGTCCACACATGCAGCGGCGGGAGGAGTCTGCTGCCCTCTGTCCACGCCACACTGAAGGCCCTGCCCGGTTTCAGGTTCTGGCCAGCGAGGTTGGGGAAGACGTCAGTGTGCAGCAGCTCCTGTCCTCACCAGGGTCGTGGAGGGGTCGGGCCCAGCAAATCCTCGTCTTGCAGAGCAAGGTACGTGAGCCATCGGACTGCTCCTGGCCCCGAACAAAGACCTCCAGCCGCCCCCTAGACCCGTGATAGACGCAAGCACAGGGGACCCAGAAAGGCCTTTAGGTCCCACGGGGCATGCTTGCAGAGCTGGCTTCCCCCCCTCACACACCATCAGCCTGATTTTCATTTGTTATTTAATGAGCAAGCATTTATGTAACACTTACCACATGCCAGGGTCTGGCGCTTAATATATGCCAACGCCTTGGGTTTGATTTATTTTACTCCGGGCATATTTTTTCCTTAGTTTGTGTAAATTTGCGTGACTGTGGTAATTGTAGGCTTTTTTTTTCCAGTGTGTCCAGATGCCTGCAGTCTTTTGAAAGTTTTAATTGCTCAATAAAAACTCAGCTTTGTCTTCCTCTTTATTTTCTACAAAAACTTTAGAGCAGGGACTCCAGGACCGGACTGCCCAGATGCAAATCCCAGCTCTCTCTGCTCAGGAGCTGAGTGATCTCAAGGAAGCTACCTACGCCTTCTCTGAGCCTCAGTTTCCTTTCCCACATAATAGGGATATCCAGTTCCTCCCTCACAGGGTCGCTGGGCGAATTTAATGAGGCAGAGCGTCTGAAGTGCTCGCACGCAGCCTGGCGTGGGGGAGTCCTGTGAGAGGTTAGCTGTGGTCACTTCCCTTCTGCCTTCAGACTGAGACACTTCCGGGAAGGTGTGTGACGCCCGGTGTCTGCCAGCTCTTCTTCATCCCCAAGGACTTCAGGGTCATGGTTCCTGTGTGCCTTTTAGCCTCAGGGTACTTGAAGCCAACCTGAAGGAAAAAAAAATAAAAACTCTAAAAAAACAGTGATTGATGATCAGTGCATGGCCTTGGGGTTCGATAGAGTTTGGGTTGGAGCCCGGCTTCAGGCCCAAACTAGTCTGCCTGCTCTGTGCAGGATTTCACAAGGTGGACTGCAGTTTGAGTCCTGGCCCAGTTTGAAAACATGCTGGGTGCGTGTGAGCCCGCCACCCTGACAGCATGGAGAAACCGGGGAGAACGGTGGTAGCTTGACCACGACTCATTGGGGGGTGCTCCCTCTCTCTCTAGCGAGCACATGCGTCTTCTGGCAATTAAAAAAAAAAGTTATATTGAATTTATTTTTCTTGGAGAGGTTTTTGCTATAGAGCGCGTGCGCTCGTCAGAAAGACAGAGAGAGACAG